TAGTAAATGCCTTTTAATTGTCTGAAACAAAATATTTGAAGAATTAAAACTTTTTTAGCTTTTTAGATTTTCTTTACTTTAGCAGTTCTGTCAAAATACTCATAAATTTCATTCAATTCAGAATTTATATAATTATGAGAGTCGAACTTCTCTATACGACTGACATATGTTATAAAGCAGAATATCATGTGTTGTTTAACGGCCTCCATTTTTGTAACTAGACGACATGTAGTTAGAGAGAGGCCAGCGAGTCTGTTTAACACTGCGCAACAGATTATTTGGCATTTAATTTTGCTGGCTTAGTTAAACAATACGTCTTTCCCATTCATCTGGTAGACTGAGTTAACATGAGCAAATTTGAAATCGACCCATTTTAAATTTTTTCTAAACCGCTCTTGGCGAATTTCATATATTGCGTCATTTCCTTATAGTGGACATTGAAATGTTTTATTTCTTTCTATGCTTTCGTTTGCTAGAAACCTTACATCTATTTATTCACAACACGTTCTAGGCGGATGAACTCTACTTATATAAATTATTATAAACATGAGTCTTTGTAATGAACAATTTGTCAAATGTATTGCAACAATATCCAATCATCATAAATTATCTGAAAGCAAACGTGAACATACGTTTTGGAGAAGGAAGTTAAAATGTTACATAATTATAGAAATCAATACTTGATTTATATACCAAAAGAAGTTTAAGAACAAATGATTATATTACCATAATTTCTAATTAGCAGCAATTTTAAAAACCACTTGAGAAAAAACGATGTACGTTTGTTCACTTAAGTAATATAATACGTACACTAACCATTCTGCACTGAAGATGGCATTCTGATAATGTCGAAACATGTTTGCTCTCAAAAAAATCGTCGTTTTTCTCAAATGTTTTTTAAAAATGATTATATGATTATATTGATGATAAGCCTTTCATAAATAAAGTAAATGTTTTACTACAAAAGCTTTAAAGAAATTAGTAACCGTCCACCTTCTAATAAATAGAAAATAAAGATGATATCAAGCTCAACAAAAGCGTTTCTTGGGACTCTCATAATCCTGTCTATTAGTGGCCAAATAGTAAATGGTAATGACGACATACCAATCTGCAAGAAAAGCTTAGAGACATTAAAAGACAACGTGAAAGAATGGATGGAAACTTGCGTTGATAAAATGGCAATGACGATAACACAACTGCATGCAAGGAAGTAAAACAATACAACAAAGAAATGATGCAAATGCAAACAGAAATGTGTTTTTACAAAGGTATAATCTTTAGATTTGACAAATTTTCATAGTTTCTTGTTCATAGCACCAAAAACAATATTCAACAAAAATAGGTAGAAGTTGTGCAGCCAATCTAATTTCAGTTATTAGTAATATTTCTACAGTGAAAAATTCTTTCAAAAAATACTTATTCTGGTCTTTCACCAAATATTATGATCGTAAAGTCTATAAAAATTTGCATTTTTATAATCCACTCTCAACGTTGTTATTTATAATTTTTTTATTATTTATTTAGATGTTTATCCAAAGCCATATTTGATTATTATGAGCTTTGATAAAATATACTCTGTTGATTTTATTACTGGAGATATTCATGTCAGCACTATTAATGGCTCCAGTAAGAATAAATCTGACCATGCATCAAGATATAATGACATAGAAATTGATGTAGTTGAGAATGTGCTTTACTACATTGATGACAAAGACATCAAACGGGGAAATCTTGACTTGACTAGAAACGAAATTTTTGCGAAAAATGTTTTGTTCATGATATTACAGTTGACTGGATTGGTCGTCGTATCTTTTACATTGACTCCACGAACATTATCTACCAAATTTATTTGAAAATAAATTACAAGTGTTATGAGGCTTCAACCAGGCTTACAATTTTCCAGCATTGCATTTGACTCAAAACATGGGTAAGGCGATATTGAAATTCTTTTTATTTACTTGTAAGCGTAAAATTAATAAACTATGTCAATCTATTGGAGGGTTTTCTTAAGTAAGGTAAGAGTTTTTGTTTTTAGAGACGGTGTTTTAATTTAATAGAAAAGTTGAATTTTATAAGTCCGTATTATGGTTTGTTATTTAAAGGTTTAATAATAGAAAAAAATATCGATTTTCCGGGGAAATCAAAACTCGCTTTTTCCCAAGGGAGCGAATATTAAGTATTTTGTTGGCTATAAAGAAACAAACGTCATATAGTTCGACAGATTTTTATTAAAATCAACGTCTTTCGGAGAGATTTGGCCAGCAAAATTTTATTGCGTGACTATAAGGCATTTCAAACCAACTGCAATAATGAACACGTTTCGTGTGATTATTCAGCACGCATGCAGTAGAAAATAACATGCAGATCCTGGAATTTCAAAAATCGACAGCGATATTTAGGTTGAGCAACCAAAGAGCTTTGAAAAAAAAGGTAACAACGGAGGGATCAATGTTTATATATGATGAAGTCATTAAATGAAATAAAACAGAGCGTTAGAAACTGAAATAAAATATTAAATAATTACTTTGCACATAAAACTTTTAGTCAAATACTCACAGAACCTTGGCTTTCCACAACCTACAAAAAAGTAGTACACTTAACTGTGCAACTTAGTGTTGTACATTTAATTCCATTAATTGTTTAGGCTGGCCACCTAAGAGTACTTTTCTTTGACAGAAAATGCAATTTGATTGACGCCTCCATGGTAATCATATGCTTAATAAGATATGCCCTACACATAGGAATTTCAACAGATTGGGAGCATTGTTTGTTGCTATACTGTGCTCTTTTGTATACTTTTTTGAGGCAGTGTAAGAGATGTGCAACAATCTCAATACGGAATGGATAAAGTTTTAAAATATTCACAAATGTGGTGAACGTAAAAAACTTCAACTTTTCGTTTTGTAATGAAGATAAAAAGAACTACACACATTCCCACGTAGTTACATGAAAAATATAAAAATGGATTTTAGTTTTCAAAAATGTGGCAATTAAAAAAAACATAATCAATATATCAAGTTTATAGTTTTTCAAGCCTTCTTTTAACTTGCATTGAATGGCAGAGTATATTGAAAAGTCAAGAGCTGCAAATTAAGTGGCTGCACACTTCCCTTTAATAAATTCAATCACACATCCAATCAAATCACCTGAATGGAAAATCATTTCACGACCTTTAGTTCATGCAGTGTTTCTTAGTGTAGCTTAGGCAAACGTTAGGTCATCAGTGGGATGATGAATCTGAAGATAATAATCATGTGATTAAAAAGAAATTGGCTTAAAAGCCTTGTGGAGCGAGAACTTTCTGAATATGTTATAAATAATTTACGACTTAAAAATAATTTCCTCTTCTAACGATTCCTATGAACTCTGCATTCATGAGAGCCTTCTAATCAATAAATACAAGCCTTCACTCTTCGTGCAAGGAGGTTCCATTCCACTTAACCTCTCTTAACTTCACTAAATTTTACTTCCCAACTTCTTTATCATGTAATCCATTTAACACCGCCTCCTTTAGTCGTAATTCAACACCTTTTGTAAATACAATATCTTGTCTTAAAATCTCATTATAAATTATTACTTGCCTGAATATGTCTTGAGTAAGGACGAAACGTCAGTATAAATTCAATTTTACAGCTTTTGGTCTATTTCTATAGCTCTAATTAAAACTCTATGTAAGGCTTTAATTGTTATCATATTACAAGAAAAGTTAAGTTTCACGAACGCAAAAAGCCAAAAGAACGGTAATATATACGAGAAAGTTTTTAAAGAGTTCAGGGCAAGTAGCAATGAACGACAAGAACACATGGACTTTACTGTTACTCAAATGCGTAATACATTTAAGAAATGTATATGAGAATGCAAATATGCTGCGATGATAATCAAAACTGCCAGTTGCATCAAACATTTTGGATAAAGTAAAGGCCATAGTGTTCAAGCAGTTTTTGCAGCTTGTCCAATCCAAAGATTCTAAAAAACACGAACATGACATGGCGATAGAGTCATCATTTTTAAATGATACCAATAGCGTTATCTCCAGTGTCAATCTTCTTCTGATTTTTCAGAGAAACAATGAAAAAATTTGACAATTAAAAAGAGAAGGTTAAGATAGTTATAAAAAATCGTTTGTCCAAACAAACAGAAAAAGTATCAACAAAAGACAATGTTTTGAAGCTATAGCTCTTTTAAAACATTTGTGGATGATGATCCATCCAAGGAGCTGCTAATTTTCATGCAAGATGAAACTGAAAATTAAGAAAGCTTAAAATTGAAATGACAAAGCTTTCTTAATTTTATATCTACATGAAATGGTGCATAACATTTACCAACACCAAATTTTCAATTCGAACAAAAATTCCACGCATCAGCTAATTTTCAGCATTATCAATTACCAACACAATTCATTCAGCAGCCACTCCAAACTACAGCATTACTCATTCCGACAATAATCGCAAACAATACCAATCATTATAGAAGTTATGTGAATAAAAATAACATATTACATTTATTATTATGTTCTGAACCTCATGCAATGTTTAATTACTTCATATATTTTAGTTCGGTTTTTAAAAGGGAGATTTCAAATGATAAAGGTGATCTTTTCCTGTTAGTTACAATAGCTTTATGTTGCTAAATTATCAAATTTTATGAATATGTTCCATTAAACCGTCTATATATGAAGGTAGTTCTGAACACTTTGACAACATCTTTGTCTAAACTAAAAAAGTATTCTATCTTTCCTTTCTTGCATATATTAGCTTGCCAATTGTTTATGTATTTCAGTACGTATAGAGAAAACTAATGTACAAAACAAATACTTTTATTAAGGTATCTATTCTTGGCAGAAAGTACAGAACTTTTCTTATGGCTATGGAGCATGACTGCAAATAAACATCATATTCTTTCAGTTTCACTTCAGTCAATAGCACATGATCTAACGCTTGACTTGGCTAAAGAGAAGATTTATTGGCGAGTTTCAAACGGAAATATTTTTCTATGTTTACTACTCCCAAAATGTAATTGATTTTGGAACTTCAGGAGGTCCCATGGCAGTATTTGGGGATTTCATTTATATCATGACTAGTGTTGGACGTAGTGTCGTTAGTGTCCATAACACAACAGATCAACGTACGAGACGTAAATATTTTCTTCCTGTAAACAACGCTTATCTTGATTTGGCTGTAGCAATACACAGTATCACTCCTGACAAAAACGGTAGTTAAATATTTACTTATTTGACATAATAATCTAAGACTTGCAAAACTCCCACGCTAATGTTCATAAAATAGAAAGACGTTAAAAGTTCAAAGTTACATTGCCTTAGTAAACGGTTGTTCTTCCTTCCAAAATTATAAAAATTTGATGAACATTAAGTTCAAAGTGCAAAGTGTCTAATTTGGACATTTTGCCGTTTGTCTATTCTTATCAAACTTCTTGGGTGTTAAATTTAAGTCTTTATTGTTTCTTACATCATTTAAACAATCACTTGGGCTTGAAATCAGTCTTAAATAAAAAAAATCATGAAATTAGATTGAAAAACGTCCAAATTGAGCATGTTGTGCAGTGAGCTTAAGATTTATCAAATTTCTTAAAATTTCAGTATATTGCAAAACAGAGTTTAAACTTTTACATCTTTGGATTAAACTAGATTTGAAACTTTTCATTTTCTTTGTGCATGCTGTTCAAATTGAGGCCATTACGAAGTACTCACATGGTTTTTGAGATTAGTTTTTCATTCATTTTACTTTAAATAAACAAGGCAAAGCCATGCCAAAATATATGAGCTTTGACACATTTTGTGAGAACTACTGATGAATTGATAATTTTCTAAACATTTTTCAATTATCTAACTTCTTTAGTATATCCCTTGTAGTGTCCCAAACAGCCAGCAAATTTGTTCATACTCTGTAAATTTTCAACATTTATTTTGTTTTTACGAAATGCGCGAACACCAAAATTACCAACATTGCATAACAAACTTGCTTGCTGGGTACATCAACGTGGATACTGAGTGACAAATTGTGTTCTTTGAGGAAGAATATGTTTCGTATAAAATCCCTGGTTAATTTTATTTTTAATTTTATTGATCGATATAGCGACAAGCACTTTTCACTTTCCTTTGTGTGGATCCAACACATACTATCGTAAAATTAATGGAGCATTGAACTGCACGTGTATGGAAGGATACTTTGGAGAATGTAACTCGTGCAGGAGAGGTATGGATTTATTACTGTCTTTATCAAGATTTTTTATCACCGATCATGAATAAAGAGCATCTCTGTGCAGTTTTAAAACTTTTTTCTTTGTTGAGAATCCTGAGCTGTTCTTTGTGCTGTTGCTTATGTGCAAGGAATTTGCTGCATCTACATTTTACATGTAACCACAAAAATAAGGCTCACAGCCACACATGCAAGTTCATTATTACCAATACAATCAAGCAGGAAATCAGTAATAAATTTATGAAAAGCTTCAATATACTTAAAACTGTCTCAGCACACAACATTGAAAGTGTATGGTTCTCTAAATGACAATAGCATATGTTAACATTAACACATTTTGAGTTTCTCTACATTAAGGAGGGGGTAGGGCTAGGGTTAGGGTAAGGGTTAAGGTTAAGTTTAACACTCCTCCTGAAGTTAGTAATCTAGCCATGGCCCTGCTAACCTAGATACACCAGATTAGACAGTCTTGAGTTTATCATTGTTTGGCTTTCCTAAACTAAGAATTCTGTAATAACAAACTTTAAAAAGCATTTTGACAGACATGCTTCCAGTTCCAGACCTCCTAGAATAAGTGCACCTCATTGCTTTATAAAAGAAATAAATGATGTTTACGTGTTTGCACTGGCTTATGCAAACCTTAGAGACGTTTTGTGAGAACTTTCAAATTCTCGATCAGCTCTCAAACTCTAACTTCCCAAGGTCTCCTCGGGGATGGCATAAGCCTGTGCAAATACATTAAACAACTTTTATTTCTTAACTAAAGGCCACGTCATTGTTTATAATATTCTTAGGTTGTTGGTTTAAAATATGTCATCTGTCATTTGAGTTAACACATATGGTAAAAAAATTATGTGTAGTGCAAAAGTGCAATTGCTATTTTTCATGTAGCTATTGCTGAAAAGGATAATAAATCTTTTTAAATAAAGTTTATCAATCAATCAACAATGACAACAGCAAGCATATAAAAAGAAAGTAGACTGGAGATATAGTAAGTTTAGTATTGAATTTTCAATTGAATTACTCTTATTGCAGCATTTTCCCCTGAATTTAAGAACAATTAGTTGTTGTTACATTTCCTTATAATTTCTGACGAAAATCATCTGTGGGGGAGATCATCTCTGATCTACTACCTCCCTGAGATTCCCGTTTAATATAAAAATCTTTTAGTTTATCATTTACCATCAAGTAGGCAATCAGTTTGACATCAATGTAAAGGAAACAATATTGTCCATAGTAATATTAGTTTTGATTATATTAGCTACCCGTCAGTGGAATTTACAAAAACTTTATAAAGTCTGCCTGACCCTGACATCAAAAAATGTTGGTCAAGTGATTCTAAGAATTTTTTTGTAATAGTAGTCTCAACATTTTTGATGTATATAAGGTGATATATGATACAAATGGTGAATGATATATGATGAATGAGTATTTTTCTGTGAATTTACTGAATTTTGCCCGTATTCTAAAACTTCAATCACACTCATACTCAATGATTGCAACACAGAAATCACGCTCCTATAAAGTAATGGCAATTTAATGTATTCAACAATGGCTTGTTTTTTGCCAAAATATTTCAAATTATAGCTACGCCATGAAAATTTGCGAGGGGATTTTGAAACTTCATTCTGTGCGTGGTTAGGGATAAGCCTTTAAAAAACAGGCATTTGATACAAACGAATACAAGTATTCTATTTGTCGCCTTTGTTACCCATGCTATAATATCCCAGGCGATTACGATTGCAGAAGACGTACATGGGATTTTTGTTCGAAGATTATTTTCTATTGTAAGTTTTTATAAATGCTCTATGACAAATGTTTTACTATCAAAACTTATAAGAGAGATTCTTGCAAAATATAGACAAAAGACCGAAGCGAAGAACTTAACTACTCTATCTAAGGTAGTGGGCTACATTTTATCGGCAAATGAAGCATGTTGAAGTTCTAAAGTTCATCGTAAAAATTTTTCTTTGTATTTTTTTTTCAAGGTCGTAGTGTGGCATATTGCGAACGTTATTATATGAACAAAAAATAGGAAAAGTTTATACAAAAGTGAACTTAAATTTTTTCTTACGATGTTCATGTATGAAATTAAGAGCCTAATAGAATTTTTACTAAATTTCACGAAAATATTTCAATTCGTTTTTTCATTTATGCAAACGAAGCGATATTTTTTGATTTCCCGCAATCTGATTGGCTGCAGAACCAGGCATCTTTTTACGATACCTAAATTATGATCCAAAAGTGATATTTTCATTAATAAGTTGGTTGCAAAGTGAAATTTAAATTTCTAAAATTGATTTAAAAGCGATGTAAATTGTTCAGCGATAAAGCACAGTGTATTCAGATGAAAGTCATCATAGCAAAAGTGTAATTTACTGTACTAAGGAAGAAAAATTTGTAAGAAAAAATCCAATTTTTTTTCAATATCAAGCTGTGTCGGCTATTTTACAACGCAAATTTCTTTAAGATAAAAATAAAAAAAATATGTTATTTACCGTTTAGGTCGGTTTTAACGGAAAAGTATTTTCACAACGTCTTAAAAGCTGCGGTAAATAATATACATTTATTTTTATTTAGCGGTCCAAAGCGATATATTTTTGTTTTCCAGCAATTTGATTGGCTGCTTGAGCGGGTAGATTTTTACGCATATCTGCCTGTGGGCACAAATGATATTTTTTTGCAATGTTTTTGCTTACGAATTGAAATGTAAATTTTTAAGTATGATTTAAAAGCGATGTAAATTGTTGAACTAGTAGGCAAAATGTCTTAAGATGATATTTATCATAGCCAGAGTGAGTTTTACCATCCAGACAAAGCAAAGTTTGTAGAAAATCCAATTTTAGTCTCAACATATTTTTTCGCAATGTATTTGTTTACGAAGGGAAATGCAAATTTTATAAAATTGATTTGAAAGCGATGTAAATTGTTTAACGAGTTAGCAAGGTGTATTCAGATGAAAGTTATCGTTGCAAGAGTGCATTTTACTGTCCAGACAAAGCGAATTTTGCTGAAAAGCATCCAATTTTAGTCTCAACATTAAGTTGCAGACCTTGTGAAAATATTTTTTCCGTATCCATGGGGTATCCAATGTGGCACTGGAAACGGTCAGAATTCGACAAAAAATTATGAAATTCAGACATTAAACATATATTTTCTTAGTATATTCAGTTTATTGAGTCTATTTTTTAATTAAAAACACTAAAAAAAAACACATGAAATGCATTTGTTGACGTACTCAAAATTCGCATTTAAGCGACAGATTTTATAAATCATCGTATTATTACGCCGTTTAGATTTACCCAATGTAATCCGATTATCCTACAAAACGTAACTCGATTGCTGTTCGGAGTCCAGTTTTGCTATTACAGTAGTATACAGAGCGTTGCCGCTGGCGCACTTCACCTTGATAAAGCGTCGTTTCTAGCGCACCTCACAGTTTGAGAAGGAGTATACACAAATCTAAGCGCCCCAGCCTTAGCTCGCTTACGTACTTCTTGTAATTATGCTAGCATAATTACAGCGAAGGTCAAACCCAGGACGACGGCAGGAGCCAAAGACGGCCGGCCCACCCCGCACCTGCCCGGCCGGCCGTCGAGGTCTATTATTTAGAGAGATATACTCTCATAGAGTAATCCAAACGTTCGACAGGCATGAGGCAGGGCAAGAACAAGTGTGCGTGGTTTCTACCCAGAAAGCTCTACACATGTGGGCGAAGGTCCATAGATGAATACTGTGGTTTTCATATGAAGCGATTAAGGGAAGGCGGGCGACTTCCACAACCATATCGGAACTGTGGCGTCGGAACACAGGCAGAAACTATCCTTTGCGAGCCTGCGGTGCCGATAGGGTGCACCATAAGCTCGATTATAAACAGCAACAAGCAAGAAAGAGATTTGCTAGAGTACTCGCCGAATTAATTTCGATTTAGAGAATTATCTCGCGTAAGATATAGCACTAAAATTTGCGACACTTGAGATGAATACTGTCGAGAAACTTCTGCAACTATATGACCAAGGTGTAATCAGCGGACACGCGTTGAACGCCTCTCTTAAGTCTCTTCAACCGCCCACTGACCCGACACCCACTCTAAGAAATGTCACTCCGCCTATCCCAAAACCGCCAAAGCGCAGGCACGCCAAGCCTATTGATGATGAGATGAACGCATACATCAATGAGCTTCTGGCTGAATTTAAGCCACGACGCCCCACAAGGGCTACTCCCCTACCACATACGGAATTGAAGTGGGATGAAACGAAGGCTTTCAGCTATCATCTGAGAGCCTGGAAAATGCAGGTGCCAAAGGGGCACCCCTCCGAACGCAACGTGATGGCTATCCTCAAAAACGCCCAAATCTGCATCAAACGCAAACTCGTTGAGGAGCCATTAGCTTTACGAGGATTTAAGTTCCAGTTGGCTGTAGAGGTTGAGCTTCGGAACGATGAATCAAATGGTACTGAAGTGCTTCAAGCACTAGTGTTCCGGACAAATCAGATCACGCTGCTACAGGTGCATGAGATTCCGCAAGCCCTACATGAAGCCTTCTCAACAATCCTGGAGAGATTGGAAAAGTTCACTCGTGAAGGGTCTGGGTGGATAGTGGATCGTATCAAAACTCTCTGGCTTGACATCGCTCACTATCAGCCTTTACGCGGAGGCACATACCTTCCTCTCCCCACCGCGGTAAAGAATAAGAAGGCAATCGTCAACTTGAAAAACAAAGACGACGACTGCCTCCGCTGGTCTCTAAGGACTGCGCTTTTTCCTGCTGCTAAAGACCCGCAACGGCCGGGCAAGTATCCCACTGAAGACGGCCTTGACTTCGTGGGACTGAGCGCACCCACACCACTCTCCTAGCTCGAACAAGTAGAGCGTGAGAACGACCTTGCTATCAACGTGTACGGGTGGGAAGGCTGCGTCTTTCCTTGCAGTCTAAGCAAAGTAGAGAGAGCTCGCAAGACTGTGAATCTCTTCCTTGTCTCGGATTCGAAAAATCC